GGAAGGAAGGAAGGAAGGAAGGAAGGAAGGAAGGAAGGAAGGAAGGAGGGAGGGAAGGGAGGGAAGAAGGAAGGAAGGAGCTTTCTATAGGCAGGAACTGAAAATAACAAAAAGTGACAGTTGACAGTCTGTCAATGAAAGTGGAGAAAAAGAAAAACTATAAAAGACATGCAAACATACCAACTACAGAGTAGCCTGGGGCAAACAGTTCTATATCCCCTGAGGATAGCATATTGTAAGCATAACAACAGACATTTATAATGATGAACCTCAGTTATGAAAAAAAAAGAAATAAAAAAGAAAATAAAAGAAAATAAACAATTTTCTATTTTCTGTTTCAGAGGGCAGGAAAATGTGTAATAAACTTTGGAATACACAGTACACCAGGGGTGGTGAACCTGCAGCCTTGAGGCCACATGTGGCTCGCTAGGTCCTCGAGTGCAGCCTTCTGACTGAATCCAAACTTCGTAGAACAAATCCCCTTAATAAAAGGATTTGTTCTGCAAAACTTGGAATTAGTCAAAAGGCTGAACACAAGGACCCAGAAGGCCACATGTGGCCTCCAGGCCACAGGGTCCTCACTCCTGCACTGTTCTCATGCCCTAGACTTTTCCTCATCAGTCATATGTACACCCCATGTCCTTCCCCACCCTTCCAGTTTTGGATAGGGTCTGGGCCAATGATTTCATCAGCATAGGGAGCTTCCAGGTAAGGAAACTCCTTTTACCAAGGATGGTTGGCAGGTTGGCAGGTTGGCACCCTGCCTATAACTTAAAGTCTTGGAGAGTTGCCGAGAGCATTGATAGACTAACTGACTTGCCCAGAGCCACCCAGGGAGTACGTGTCAGAGGCAGGACCTGAATCTAGGTATTCTTGCCTTCAAGGTCAGTTCTCTATTCTTTTTGCCAGGCTGCCTCTCCAGTTTGGGAGCCTGAATCAATTCTCATTGCTCCTAGAAAGTGTGTGTAAATCCACTCCCTTATGGTTCCACTCACCATTTCTGCAATTTTCCAAACCATAATATCCCTCCATGGACACTCCTTTATATGTGTTATTTCCCTATATAAGAATATATTCTCTGATGTAAAGGACTTTTGTATTTGTATCCCTGGCACTTAGAACAGTGCTTGGCAAATAGTAAGTGCTTAATAAATAGTTTTTAATTCATTTATTCATTCAAAAGAAAAAACATTTTAATACTTTTGTTATATAGAATATTCACTGTACTACTGTATTCCTTAATATGACTAGAAAAATGTGGCATTTTTGTGTTGGCTAAGCCATGAATAGTTGTTGCGATTTCAAGTCCATGTTCCTCTGGCTTTCAGGATACAATATCGAGTTTAAAAGATAAATAACAAATAACAATACTCTTCATGTGATGGAAAGACTGCTTTAATGCAGAATAATAGTCTCCACCTCAATTTCTCCATCTGTTAAATAAGTAGGTAAGATTAAATGATATCTTACTATCCTTCAAACGCTGACACTCTAATCTTTCTGATCAAAAGTTTGAATCACTTCTTCCATACAAGTGGAAGGCCATACGACACTATCCAAGAAGCAATTTACTAAAGGAGTCTTGGTAGGGGCAGCTAGGAGGCACAGTGGATAGGGCACCGGCCCAGGATTCAGGAGGACCTGAGTTCAAATCCAGCCTCAGACACATAACACTTACTAGCTGTGTGACCTTGCGCAGTCACTTAACCCCATAGCCTAGCCAAAAACAAACAAAAAAAAAACCAACTAAGCTAAAGGAGTCCTGGTATCTTAAAAGAATGCATACAATTCCAGATGTTGAACAGCATTATAGAGTCACAGAATCTCAGAGTTGGAAGGAAACTTGGAACATCTAGTCTAATCTATACCCTAAAACAAAGTCCCTCTCCAACAAATTGAACAAGGGTTTATCCAGTTTTTGCTTGCAGATATCCAAAGAGGAGGAAAGTACCATCTCTCAAGGTGTCCACTTTAGGAAAATTTTAATTAAAAAGAAGCTTTTCCCTTTATCTAGTCCAGGGGTGAGGAACCTGTGGCCTCAACTCTTTAGGTCCTCAGGTTCGGGCCTTTGACTGAACCCAAACTTCACAGAACAAATCCCCTTAATAAAAGGAGTCATTCTGTAAAATTTGGACTCAATCTAAAGGCTGCACTTGAGGACCTAGAGGGCCACATGTGGCCACAGGTTCCCCACCCCTGCTGTAGTCAGTTTTCTTTCTTCCACCCATTGATTCTGCCCTGTAATGCCAAATAGAACAAGTGTAATCCACCTTTTCCCATGATGGCCCTTCCAAGGGATTCATTTTTCCCCCAGTCTTATCTTCTCCAAGTTAAACACTCCCAGATCCTTTAATGGACCCACATGAATCCAAGACCCTGAATCATACTGGTTACCCTCCTCTTGTGGCTGCCTAGCTTAGTTGGAAGGAAAACCCAAGTCTAAAAGCTATTTTGAATTGGTTATTTTGGAGGTCAGGTCACAGACCTCTTGACCTGACAACAAAGAAACATTTTGTTTCTGAAGTAAAAACTAAATCAGGAATAATTTGTGGGCAGAAAGACCACAAAGCTTTTATGGATGCAGAAGTACTATTCCCTTCTCTGCAACCTGGAGACCAACCAGGACATGGGTTAGGAGTGTGCATGGAATAGGAAAGCCCCTCATGATATGGAGCACGGTTTCTTAACTTAGGGGCAATTCATGTACCCTCAAGGGGTATGTGGATAAATTTCAAGGGGTCTATGAACTTAGATAAGAAAAAAATACACTTTCATTTTCACTAACATCCAACTGAAACTTAACATTTCCTTCAATTCTTTAAAAAACATTATTCTGGGAAGAGGTCCATTGGTTTACCAGACTTCCACAGGGGTCCATGGCACAAAAAAGTTTAATAACTCTTCCTGTAGATGAAAAAGTGATTGTCCTGGGGCTAGCAAAACTAGGTTTGGACCCTAGCTTCAACACTTACTAGTCATATAACTGGCCAAGTCACTTAACCAAGATGAGTCTCCATTTCCTTCTCTGCCAAATGGGGATGGCAAGAAAACCCTGCACTTCACAGAGTTGCTATAAGGGAAAATCCTTTACAAACCCTAAAACATGATAAAAATATGAGTTAACAAGGTAATTTTTTGTGGGTTGGTAGGGAGACTGGGTCTTCCTATCTCACTCAGATTGGAAGTACAGAGGCCACTATTGGTCCTCTTACCATTGCTAATCAGCATGGAAGCCTGCTCTGTTTCCAACCTGGGCCAATACACCCCTCCTGGAGTAGCCTGGTGGCCCTCTGTTCCTGGGCTCTCACCAGATTGGCTCTAGGTTTAGTCACTGAGGTCAGAACTTTAGAACTCAAAAGATACACCAGCTTTAGCCTCTATGGTAGTCAAGTAGAGAGCCCCACTCTTAATTATAATTCCTTCTACACTAGGAATCCTGGTAAACCTGAGAAGAGGCAAGGAACCAAGCCTGCCGCAAGAATCAATTTATGGATCTCCAAGGCAAGGCTTGGAGAATTATAGATGGAACCTAATGTATTCGATGGAGATACACACCCTCGAAAAATCTCAATGTCTTAAAAAATTAAATGAAGAGGACTGACATTTATAGAAATGCAGAAAACTTCCCATTATCTGTCAGGATGCATGTTTCTCCACCTATGAAAAATAGTAGTTTCTGAGTACCAGGATGGGAGGCGACCAGAAGTAACAATTATAAATACAGGGCATCTTAAAACTCTCAGTGAGGTTTTTGGGACACCCCATATAATGATAATTGGAAAACTGTTTAAGATTTGCAAGGCTCTTTGTTGATAATCTCATTTGAGTCTATCAATAGGCCTGCATAGTAGGCATTGCAAGATATTATTATCCCCAATATACAGAGGAGAAAACTGAGGCTCAGAAAGGTTAATTGACTTGCCTAGTCACAGAGTTGGTAAGTATAAGAAGCAGGATTTGAATCCAAGTCTTCCTGATTCCAACTCCTGCTCCCCGTCCCAGATCAAGAGACCTCTTACTAGGCTGTGCTTTGTACTGTGAAATATAGGAACTCAACTTGTATGTGCAGTTCTCTTTGTATGGTGCCTGAGACTGGGTGCCAGGCATCTCAATGAGATAAAACAGCTGTAGTTCAATCAGTTGGGGTCACATTGATTTAGATCACTAACTAAGCTAAATCCATTAGACATGGGAACATATTGTGACACATTAGCGAAAAGAAAATTTAGCTGTGATAACTATACTTTGAATGAATTAATAATCTCTCCAAACTCTTAATACTGATAGACAGTCTCAGTATGATGCCATGCAAATTAGAAGGAAGTACACGCAATCTGAGTTTCTTTAAAATGAGATGCATTACCTATATTATAATTGGTAAGAGTTACTCACTGGAGGTCCTGGGGATCCTTGAGCACCAGGAAAGCCTGAGTCGCCTTTTTCTCCTATTCTCCCAGGTAGACCCACTTCTCCTTTCCTACCCTGAAGACCATGTGGCCCCGGAGCACCTGGAAGACCCATAGGACCTGGGCAACATGAACACAGCCCTTCATTTCCTATTTAAAACAAACAAACAAACAAACAAATAAAGCTTTGATTTAACTATGGAAAAAAACATTGAAAGAATTTAACAATGATGAAAAAACTAAAGCTCAAACAAAACTTTGAAATATAAATACAGAAGCTGAGAGAGAGAAAAACTAAAATAACTGCAAGTGAAGAATCAGAAGGGAATTTATAAGGAAGAACTGTTTACAATCTAATAGAGAGGTTCACAAGGGGCCCTAGAAGCAGCCATTTAAGACAGAAGGCATACAAATAGTTTTGTAATGTTTTGGAGCTGCTGTAAGAAAAAAAAAATAAAAGGAGAGGATACATTAACAGAAAATAGGAGAAAGGATGAGGGAACTTAAGACACATTATCAGATTGTGCCAGTAGAGCTATGTGCAAACACGGAAATAATGGGAGGAGTAAATATCACTTGAATTTCACTTTCATCTAAGCTGGTCAAAGGAGGTCAGAATACACACACAAATAGTTTGGTGAAGAAATATATTAAACTTAACAGGGATATAGATAGGAACAGGAAAAGGGAATATAAGATGGAGGATAGATTCAGGGAAAGATTAGTCATAAGGAAAACCAATCTTAGACTTGGAGAGGAAATACTGAAGAAAAGGTTAAAAGAGAGGGAAAGAAAATGGTAATAATTTGAAACAAACATGGAAAGAGGAATATAAGAGAATAGAATGAAAGGAAAAAAAAAACAATCAGCTACCATAACTGTAAAGGTTTGTTGTTCAGCTGTTTCAGTTGTGTCCAACTCTTCATGACCCCGTTTGGGATTTTCTTGGCACAGATACTGGAGCAGTTTGCCATTTCCCTCTACAGCTCATTTTACAGATGAGAAAACTAAGTCAAACAAGGTTAAATAACTAACCCATGGTCACACAACTTGTAAGTGCCTGAGGCCAGATTTGAACTCAGGAAGATGAGTCTTTCTGAGTTCAGGCTCAGCACTCTATCCACTGTACCACCTACCTGCCCTAACTGTAATTGTAAATGGTATTAACTCACCCATAAAATGGAAATGGTTAGAAGACTAGATTAGAAAGCAAAATCCAACAGTATGTTGATTACAAGAAACATCCTTGAAATGTAAAGGGTTGGGGCAGCTGGGTCATGCAGTGGATAGAGAGCCAGCTCTGAATTCAGGAGGACCTGAGTTCAAATCCAGTCTCAGACCAGACACTTGATACTAGCCATGTGACCTGGGCAAGTCACTTAACCCCAATTGCCTCACAAAAAAAAAGAAAGAAAGAAAGAGAGAAAGAAATGTAAAGGGTTACACAAAGGGAAAATACTAGGTTGGAGCAAAATTCATTGTGCCTGAGCCGAATACAAAAAGGTAGGGGTAGCAATTACAATTTTAGATGAAGCAACAGCAAAAAAAAAATTTACTTAAATGAGATAAAGACAGAAACTACATTTGGCTGAAAAGCAACATAGACAATGAATTTATTTTAATATTTAACATATATAAATCTCATTACATAGCTTATAAGTATTTAAAGTAAAAACTAGGTGAATTACAGGGAAAAACAGACAATAAAAGTATAATAATGGAGGAATTTTAATTTGTACCTCTCTAACCAAAAAAAAAGAAAAAAGAAAGAAAAGAAGTTAATGACACTAATAGAATTTCAGAAGAATTAGGTATGATATATGTCTGGAAATTATTGAAGGCAGGAAAAAGGAATAAAGTTGTAAGAACTATGATCAACACAATGACCATTCATGATTCCAAAGGACCAATGATGAAACATGCTATCCATCACAGAAAGATGATGGATTTAGGGTGTGGAATGAAGTATACACACACACACACACACACACACACACACACACACACA